CACTGATTTGTTGCATCGCCAAAATCGCAGTATTGACCTGAAACCAAATATATACAAATTTAACTACTGATTTATATTTGCTGTATATATAAAACAAACAAACATACACACCATTTTGTGGACCAGAGGATGTCCCAATTCCCGAGGTCTGCCGTACAGCGTCACCCGATAAATTTGCATCTGAAATTAAAAAACATTTAAAAATTATTTTTAATATTGAAAGACTGACCATATGTACTTTACTTATATTTGTTTGAAACACCAGAGGGTAGTATTTTAGTACCAGCTATGTTCTGATTTGAGACATCGCTCACCGCATTGTTACTTTCATCTTCAAAGGCAGGTAGCAAGTCTCTGGTTGTTACCTGGTCTTCGACAATTGCATATTTATCTAATGGTTTACGAATTGCAAATTCATCTCCTATTTGTGTATTGGATTGCCGTACTGTACACATACATAATATTAGACCAATTTAAAGAATAACAATATTTAAAGTGACCAAAAATTGAAACCACTACATTTTATGGTACTGTAAAAAAAATAATTTGGTAGCACGTAGTAACATAAAAAGGAAAGAATTCTTAATAATATAAATTAAATACACCTAACATTATAACTTATGGTAACCTAGAATATGAAATAGTAATTTAACTGTATAAGTATTATTATATTTTAGTGGAAAAATCACATGGTAGACCATGGTCCACAATAATATGTTCAACATTAATAGAAATAAAAGAGAAAAAAGTGTATTTCACTAAGTAGAATCTATGGAATTAATTACACATATCAAAACAAATGAAACTATTTTAACAAAAAATTAGAAATTGAGATTCCAAAATAAATCATATATCACCCAAAAATCCACACATACTTATATGTACCATGAGTTACATTATAATTAAATTCACAATGAGTCTATAGCAATTCAGATTAGTGCATTTACCGGTAGTGATGTTACTCAATGGTGTGATATATTCAGAGAAACATCCTCGCTGGGGATTTGTGTAAGGATTAGCTGTCGTACGTTGGTCTTGATCTTGAGCAGTATTATTCGTACAAGATGAGCCACCGAAATGATTTGCTGTGATTTAAAATATACCATCAAATTAAGAACTAATTCCAATAATTATAACTCGAAACAATTCAGTATACATAACCAAATAAAAAATCACTTGCACAACTTTAATACGTAATTGAATATAATTATGTAGACGATGGTCCACATTCTAACTTAAATACAATTCAAGCACGACAAAAACTATATATGACTAAGTACAATGTAATCAATTAATTACATCTAATCAATTAATTACAAATTGATATTAAACATGAATTACATTATAATTATACCATTTAATTTTACAAAAAGCTTCGAACAAATAACAGTATAACGATATTTAAATTAACAATGAATATATAAAAAGGATAGAATTCTTACTATTATAAATTAAATACACGTAACATTATAGTTTATGCTAACCTAGAATATGAAATAGTAATGTAACTGTAAAAACATTATTATATTTTAGTGGAAAAATCACATGGTAGACCATGGTCCACAATAATATGTGCACTGTAAATAAATAGAAATAAAAGAGAAAAGAGTGTAACTCACTAACTAAAATCTATTTAATTAATTACACATATCAAAACAAATTTAACTATTTCAACAAAAAATTAAAAATTTATTTTTAAAAAATAAATCATATATAAGGCAAAAAATAGTGAGATTACAATTCCACACATACTTATATATACCATGAGTTACATTATAATTAAATTCACAATGATTGTATAGCAATTCAACACCGGCCATTTACCGGTAGTGATGTTACTCGATGGTGTGATATATTCAGAGAAACATCCTCGGTGGGGAATTGTGTAAGGATTAGCTGTCGTACGTTGGTCTTGATCTTGAGCAGCATTATTCATAAAAGATGAGTAACCGAAATGATTTGATGTGATTTAAAATATACCATTAACTTAAGAATTAATTCCAATAATTATAACTCGAAACAATTCAATACACATCACAAAAAAAAAAAAAAAAATCAATTGCACAACTTTAATACGTAAACGAATAGAATTATGTACACAATGATCCACATTCTAACTTAAATACAATAGCAATGTAAAACTATATATGATTAAGTAAAATGTAATCAATTAATTACACCTAATCAATTAATTACAAATTGATATTAAACATGAATTACATTATAATTATACTATTTAATTTTACAAACAGCTTCGAACAATTAATAATATAAGGATATTTAAATTAACAATGAATGTATATCAATTCATATATTGGGATTTACCATTACTGATGGTACTGAATGGTGTGATATCTGGAGAGAAACAACATCCCAAAGGATTTTTGGCAGGATGATTTGGCGTATGTTGCTCCTTACCTTGACCAGCATTATTCATTAATGATGATTTGAAAAAACTATTTGCTGTATGAAAAAAAAAAAATTAAAAGAGGATAAAAACAACAGTAAGTAGAACAGTTAACATTTTTTAAATTAATCACACATAATGCTATTCATTACGCTAGCTTATGATTGTAAATTGTAATTGTTTTAAATAAGACTTACATAATAAGTAGACTTATAAAAAGGTTTTATAAATTCACAACGATGCTATATCAATTGAACTTAGTGGATTTACCGTTAGTCACGTTACTCAAGGGTGTGATGTTTTGAGACAAACCCCCTCCAAGAGGAATGCGGGCAGGATTTCTTGTCGGAGACTGTTGTTTTCCTTGATCAGAATTATTCCTTGATAATGAGTTGCCCAATTCATTTTCTGCGAATTAAAATACAACATTAAATTTAATAATAATCCAAATAACTAAAAATCATAAAAATGAATTACACATAATACAACTAACAGTACATACTTAATTTCAAATTGTTAAAGATTTACCGCACAATTATTTACAAATTAGTGGTGTGCCACTAAACACACCTTACGGATAATCTAATTGTGAAATATATATATAACTTGAAATGGTAATGGCTATATAGTAACACTAATTTTATTTGACAAAATCTTAAGTATAACATTGTCCACAATAAATACCATTACAATTGTTAAGATTATATATCTAATTAATTACGCATAACAATTAAAAATTAAATAAATAAATAAACAACTATATACATATCTATATATTTATTTATTATTTTATATCTTTAAACTCTTTAAATATATTATTTTCGGTATATATATAATTTTCCGCATATAATATATATATATATATATATATATATATATATATATATATATATATATATATATATATATATATATATATATATATACAATAATATATCCAATATTATTGTTTATTCTGTCGGAATTTCGAGAGAAGAGGAAGAAGGGTCTACCCTTTTCCTTCTCTTGAGCTCTCCTTGCTCTCATGTCTGAATCGGAGATCTGTTCTTCACCTATCCCTACGATCTTACTATCTTTCTCTGTCAAGCCTAAATCTAGATCAGTCCTAAGTCCTAATCTCCGATTCAACTGTTCTTATTGAACATTTTTCCCGGCGAAATTGGAGTCGGGTCTCGCTTAGCATCGATCCGATTAGCAGTACACAATCCCGATCTTTCCTTTCTGTGAAAGATCTTAATGTTCAACAACGGTAAATCGTGGCAATCGCGTTTCAGTGAAGGTAATTCTCCAATTCTAAGATTATTAATTTGTCAATCTACACTAAATTTGTTTAGGTTTCCTACTTTTCGTTGTTGTTTATTCTAAATTTGATCTACGTTTCTTGATCTATGCATGCATATCAACAATCATAGCTGAATTTTTTTGATTTCAGATTTGTCCTCTTCATAGCCATTAGGGTTCTAAATCGTATTTTTTGTAATGTTGCTCTAAAAACACCAAAGAGAAAGTACTCTTAACTGTTTAACAGTTATTTTCAAAATGGTATAGCTATATTATTATTCACACAAACCCTAACCTGTTTTCGACTTTATCATGTTGTTTTTTATGAACATACTGGAATTTTTTGAGGAGATAGAGAGCATAAACAGAACCGCAGATGAAGAGGATGCTACAATGAAGCTTAATTCGAAGTCTGAAAAAGATAAGTTTTGAACTTACCTTTATTTTCATCACTTGGTTTCCTTTTGATGCCTAAAATTGTTGATTTAGTGATTTTCCTCATTGCTCTGTCTATTGTGTTTACTTGAAAATGTAGATGTGATTTGTGTCTTTACCTTTGGTCTGAAACTGGAGAACTGTGTTGGTAGTTAGATGGGGCAAAGCTGATCATATGGCTTCATTGTACTTTATTTTACTTTTGCCTGGATTTTGAAAATAGGATTGGAACTGAAGAGTTTTCTCTTAATAGTAATGATAGCAGCCCATCAATTGTATTTAATGTTTAGGAAATGTGTTTCTTTTCCTAAGAATGATTAAGTAATACTTAACAGGCCAATATTTCCCACTGATCCAATTTCTTTAGCTGATTTGTAAGAACATGGAACACACACCCAATTACTCACTGGTTCTAGAACTATTCATTTTTCTCTTATGGCAGTGGCTGACATTATTCTTCAAATAAAAGTATATTTTCTTTTTTTTTAGTTAACACACTAATGTTATTTAATTTACCAATCTTGAATTGTAATGCTGTTATGTAATTTCTTTCTAAATGTGCCGGACAATTTATTCAATGTATGTGTTGGTATTATTTATTCTTGACAGAAAGTCTAACTTTTTTTTTATTCTTTTTAGAGCAATTGAAGAGCAGCAAGCAGAAAATAATCACCACGGCCACATCATAAAATAAGTTAAGACTATATCTTGATTGGTGTTACATTAGATGACTTTGCACTGTTATAGTTGCACAGTTTGTAAGACTGTTCTAAGAACATTGAACACATACATGGATTATTTGATTGTACTTAATGATTATTATGAACACATTCTAACCATTTTAATTTTTTTGGGTATTTTTTTTAAGAATGGAATAATCCAAGCTATGGAGACATTGAAGAATGGGTCCCAGAAAAGAAAAAAGCAATCAAAGACCACTAAAAGCATTATGGTCATATAAGCAAATAGGTTAACACTTTATCTTTATTTGGCTGTCTTTAGATTAGTTTGTATGCATATACTTGCATAGTTTGTAACTTTGTTCACTTTATGCGAGTGTATGCTTTTCCTCTTATTAAATATCCTGAACACAAATTCTAACAATATTTTTTGTTGTTATTCTTATTAGAATGAAATCATCAAGCTTTGAAGAAATTGAAGAGCAGCTGTCATAAAAAAAACAATCAATCAAAGACCACTAAAAGCAATAGGGTCATACAACGAAATAGGTTAAGACTTCCTCTCTACTTGGCTGTAGTTAGATTAGTTTGTATGGATATACTTGCATAGTTTGTAAGTTTGTTCACTTTAATTTGTAAGGCAATATTGTTCCATCACTGGCCTTTAATTTGGGTGCATTGTTTGGTTCTATATAAGTATAGAATTGAGTAATGTTAGCAAAGTAATGGTAATAGCTTCTTTTTTTTTTCTCTTTGGTCAAAATTGGTATAACTATTCTGTATATATCATAATATTCTTTCACTGTGTTATATTGCAAGCACTAACTTTATTTTGTAAATATTAGACACATTTAGTAAAATGTCCTTGTTCGGGAAATGGTGCTCGACTATCGACCAAATTCCTTTATTTTATTAATAATTGTATTGTCTTTGACATCTTGTTTTTGATGCAGTATTTTAGACTTGGTTCATCTATAAGTGATTTTTTTTTTGCATGATAAACTCTTTTTTAAAAGCAGATTCTCATTTTTTTTTTGTCAAAACAGTAATATAAATTCCTTTTTTTTTTTTTTTACTATTTGCTTAAAACTGGTATAATGTTCTTCTATGTATAAGGAGATTATTTAATTGTTTTTTATTGGCAGAAACAAATTTATTTTATTAATAATAGACACGTTGAAAAATGTCTTTGTGTCACAAATGGTCCTCAAGTATTGACAGTGTTAATCAATTTGTATTTCTATTGTATTTGACATCTGGGCTTTTTTAAATTATTGGATTTTATATTACTATAAAAGTCAGATTTGTGTAGGATAAAAACATTTTTCCGTTTAAAGTAGAATGTTTGTTTTATATCTACATAAAACAGTAATGTAAATGACTTACAAAATTCTTCTTTTAGTTGCTTTTATCTGATTTCTTTCTAAATGTGGTAGAAAACATTGATGGATTCCAGCTTGAACATCAGTTGTTTGGATAGATGCAAACAGAGTAAAGGAAGATTGTGCAAATAGGTAATTGGAACTAACACCCTTTTTTTACATGACCTAAATGACTTGACAAAATTCTTCTTTTAGTTGCTTTTATCTGATATCTATTTAAATGTGCTAGAACACATTGATGGATTCCAGCTTGAAGAGCAGTTGTTTGGATAGCTGCAAACGGAGTAAAGGAAGATTGTGCAAATAGGTAATTGCAACTAACACCCTTTTTTAAGAACAGTACATTTACATGTAAAGTTTTAGAATTGCATACACAGTCAAGCTGATTGTGCAAATAGGTAATTGAAACAAAATCTATTTTATACGCACTTTATATTTTAGATATAAAGTCTTAGAATTGGGAATAGGAACATACAAAGAACACAACTTCAAAGTCAAAATTGCTTGGCAAACTATTTACATCCTGTGGACCCCTAAAACCGACTTTGCTTGCCAAACTATTTCAATCTTGTTTGCCTTCTAAAAACTTGGCCACCTAGCATGTTTGCTGCAAAACAGGCACAACATATTTAGATATAAAGTCTTAGAGTTGGCAATAGGAACATATGAAAAACACAACTTCAAACTCTAAATTGCTTACCAAAGTATTTCCATCCTGTTTGCCTTCTAAAACCCTAAACCCTAACATCTTTGCTGCAACTTGGACACCTTTCATCCTTTTTCTGAAAAACCTGAAAGGAAAAATAGAAAAACTCCAAAACAGGTTCGAATAGCAGTACATACACCAATTTATTGTACTAAACAGTTAGGAAATTACTAAAAGCATTAGATAAAAGTTATAAACCATCCATAAAACTGAAAATAAAAAATTGTCACACCACAGTATTAGGAAAAACAAAAAAAAAATGTCTGGATAGTGTCCGGCTATCAACAATCTCTTTCAACCATCAATCTCAATTACATCTTTTCCTTTTTGATTTCTGAGTCATTCAACTTCTTCCTACTTTTGGATGATGAAAACTCATCCAAAAGTGACCTTTTAATAGCACCAACATTTTCTGCATTGTCTTCTCCTTCCTTTTGCGAGGGCTCGACAGTCGCAGGACTGTTCACTTCAACCCCAATCGAATCTTCCTATTAGAAAGAAAAGCAGACAACACTATTAGTAACCAAAAAAATAAAAAATCTCAAAATTTAGTGTTAGAAATTCTTACTCCAGAAACTGCATCAGTGTTAGTTTCCTCATCAATCATCCTTGACATTAAGTCTTGCTCTTCATGCTCCACAAATCTGTCAGCATAAGTCTTAAGCAAGTGCTCATCCCTTACAACCCTAACAACATTGAATGGGTAATTGGGACCCATCTTTTGGGCAAGTTTGAAGTTGATCTTAAACAGCATCTTCATACCAACTATAGCATCCAATTCAGGGGGCACTTCAACATCAAGCTGTTTAGATAGTGAACAAATAACCAAGTTAAGAACAGATAATGTAAACAGTTTAGGCCAAAAAATGCAGACATTAGGTAATAAGAATTTACCTCCTTGTATTTTGCATACAAAATAGAGGCAGGAATACCCACAAGCTCTGTAACTTCCCTATCCCAAAGCAACATTGGAGCATCTCCAAACTTGTCAAGAGCAATAACAACAACTTTGTACCTAACTTGACCCATCATACAATTCTTCTTACACTTAGTACAGAAAAGTGTCCCTTCCTGTTCTTTAAGCTTCTTATTACATCCAAGTTTCAGGTATGATAAGTAGTACCAACCATCCTCAAAATCTAACCCGAGAATCTCAGCAGCAACATAATAGTCCCCATCCTATAGTATTCAAACAATTTCATAAGTATATATAACAGTTAATAATTTCAGTCCCATCAAACTACAGAAAAGATTGATAGCTTAGTATGTGGATTACCTCTTTCACCTTCTTAATGTCATGGCAGTTAGTCACAATAACAGAAGCATTATGAAAATCACTAATGCCTGTAGAGTTGGAATGCAGTGTGCCAGTACTGAGACTCCGCATTGGAGTACCCTGAGCTTTCATGCTTCAAAACATTAGAAACTTAGTTAGATGTGTCTAAAACAACTTACAAAAATAGAGTAGACAACATTTAAACTATCTATCTTTTATTTAGATATGCAGTTCAGTGTACTCAAATATATTTGAGTACACTGTACAACATGGTATTTAAGTATATATACACAGTATATTTTTTTTTTCTCCATTATTCAGATGATAAAATGAAATATATGGATTGTGTTAATTCAGAAATACAAAGTATAGCACACATTAATAAAGATAGCAAGACAATTAGCAGAAAACTAAAAAATAGGAGAAATATAAAAGATGGAACTTACTTTGACCTAAACTCTTTAAACTCTTCCCAATCCTCATTAAACCACAGCTTCGTAGCATCATAGGAACTGGTTATTCTCACTTCACCTAAAAAAATGCATAAAATAGAGAAGTGTATTTTTAGAGGTATATTATGATATATATTATGATATAAAATACAGTATTTGAATATATAGATTAGAAGAAAAAATAGTATAAAAACTCACCACCCACAACTTTGGCCCTACAGCATTGAATTACAACAATCAGTGGTTCTTTAGAATCACTATTGTAAAAAGGCATCAGGGAAGAAACATGTTCATTCCACAGTGTACACATGATGGTGTTATCACTACATTAGAAACAGAAAAAAACCAAAACTATTAAAAAAAATTGCATGAATTTATAAGGTAATCAAATTTATTTTAATAAACTTACGCATTGTCTTCAAGTTGGAAGTCTATTAGTTTGGTAGCCTTTCCCCCCACAATCTTGTCAACAGGATTGTAAATCTCAGTTACCCTTCCAATAACATCTGCAAAACGAACAAAATATTAGCAGTATTATATTAAAAGTATAATAAAGAAGATATTAGCAGTTTGGAAATGTAAATTTAGTACCAATCAGCTCCTTGTCATTGACATCCTCAGGATCTTTCAAAGCCACAAAACTCTTTAATCTAAACATTTTGCAAGGAAAGCCAGTAGAATGTATTTCCTTGACTTGTGTTCTGTAGTTAAATTTCAGCAGGAAACCATGCTCTGTAATCTTGTACACGTAGTAGTTTGTAGAGGCCATGAAGTTCTTTATTTCATAAATTTTCCCTTCCTTGATTATATCTTTATACTTGACAATGTCTTTCTTGATGATACTCGCATGAATGTAGTCTCCCTGCGAATACAATAGTAAACAAAATGTACACAGCAAAACAGTTATAGAAGCTTAATTGAAAGAACATTATATGAGAAGATTATAGATAGGAAAACACAGTAAGATTATTAGATAAAATGGCAGGAGTTAGTAGACAAAATCATATGTGAAAATAGCTAAAATTACCTCTTCATCATGGAACACAACTTCCATGCTCTTACTAACCTGACCTTCTCCCCTTTTTTCAGGAACTTCAAACACACGAACTGCTCTCACTCGTATTGCCCTTTGCTGGTGTTCCGGCTTGATGTTTCTCACGGCAAGGAACATGGAAGGCATGTTGAAACAGCAAAGATTGGTTTCTAAAAGGCTGTAAACTGTGATAACTTTCTGAAGTGTACTGCCATGAAGAAGGCCGGTATTTATACATACTGAAGATTCAAAAATAAGGAGATACCGGCATTCTAAGTTTGGGAAATCGCACATCTCAATTAATGTAAATTTGAATATACCAACTCTGCATATTCTATGTATCTAGGTATGTATGTAATGTTTGTAATCTCTATTTAATTGTTTCTTGTATGCCGTAGCAGTTCATTAGGATTTGTAGATATTAATAGTAGTGATCTTGGTTACAATACCAAAGAGTTCTACATTAATTGAACTCCTTGGGAACCAAGGACTGTGTAATAATAAGAACGGCTAGGTATTTCCCAATACGAATTTCCATTACACGCGCACAGTAAAAAAGGAATTAAGTCCAGATCGTTAGCTATACCAAAACTGCGTCGTTTTCATTGGGCGGGAACTAATGATTGGCAAAACTTCTTGCTTTATTATAGAGTTAGATGTGTGGGTAAAACGTCATGCTATTTATGATGTGCCACAAATTTGATATGAAAAAATTATTAAATAGATCACCGGATTACACACAAAAAATAACATTAGGTTATCATAAAAATAGTACAATTATATTGATTCTTTAAACAATCAATAATTGTGCAACAAATTGAATGATATGTCATTTTAGGCGTATTTATTTATTAAAAAAAACATTATTCTAAGAATAATTGTGCAAAACATTAAAAATAACATTATTCTTTCTTGTCAACCCTTTTCTTGTATGTGTTATTCACATATATATGCTGTCATGTATATACATATATATTAATTAATTGTTGTTTTTTAAAGGAAGAAATTGGGCTCCCAATTATTAGACACATTGTGCGGCGGTGACTTTGCGAGTACATGAAGTACAGATGCATGCATGCAGCCGTTGTAGGCTACTAGTGATGTGAAAGTAGTCCTAATTCAATGGACTAACTTAAGTTGAGAAGAAGCAACGTGAGAGGATTATGGTCATTTCAAACCTCAATTTCCACATGCTATTTGATCATTATCTAGTTGAGAGGCACAAGACCTTATAGGATAGTGGATTGGAGAGGTAATCACATGCATTTAGGGTGACTCAACTGTTCATTAGGTGGAAGACGAGTATATGATGTTTATAATGAGCTCTTCACATTGGATGAAATTCTTACATTACGACTAACAGTGTTTGATTATGTGTTATTGTATACAATCTACCACTCAAAAACCAACAGTTGAATGTTATGCTGCCAGTAGGGGTGTAAACGAATCGAATCGAGTCAAATATCTCACTATTCGATTCGAATTCGACTATATATTCGAATATTCATATTCGTATTCGTTTAAGATTCGAATCTCAAATATGATTCGTATTCGATTCGACCAGTTTATTCGAATATATTCGATTCGACTCGAATATTCGAATTCGAAATGTTTAACTTAATTTTTTACAAAATTCTCTAATAAATTAAGATAAAATGTAATAAAAATTTATATTTAAATAGCATATATATATTCGAATCGAAAAAAATATTTAAATTCAAATTCAAATCACGAATCAATTTTTTTTTATTATTATTATTACTATAAAGAAAGGGGATACCTTACATATACACACTATTTGCCACAACTGAAGTTTAAACCCTACACCTC